CTTTCAAAGGGCTTCGGAGTCCAGCATGTGTCGACAACTCTCGGAAATATCATATTAGTGTTAGGATCGGTACTACCACGGTGTATTAATCAGGGGTCTACCTACCTTAAACCACAAACCGGAAGCACAAGCCAAGGGACTCTGCTCTGCTGGCGCCTGCGCTTCTTCACCCGCACTGACGGTCTTCGCACGACCCACCAGAGCCTTGCAAGGTCCCGGCTGGTGCAAGGCAAGAAAAATAAGTCAGGTAGCGCCCAAGTTGTCCGAACCTCGTTCTTCAGCGCAGTCCAATCATCCTCCGGTGGCTGGCGGGCCTTGGCGAAGCTACGCAGGTTTTTGCTTTCGACGTACTCGTTGGACGGTTGCGGGCTTCTGCAAGGGGTGTATAGGGTCTCATATCTGGAGAGAACGCCCTCGCAGTGTTGGAAACTTACAAGACTAGAGCAGCCACAGTCTGATCTCACATAGAGGCTGGTGCCAGTTTCTTCCTGAGCATATTCATGACACGACGTTGCATGCAGGGATTGCGCAAGTGCGAATCGAGGAAGCCGGTATCTTCAGGAGCTTTGCCTTCTTGATGGTCTACTTGTGGACAAAGCATAGATTGAGATGCGTAGCCTGGCTTTCGGGAGAGCAAGTTGTGGCGGCGCGGGCATAGACCAGGACCATGAACGGATGCGTCTTGGTCTGCATGGTGTTCATAGAGGCGGCATAAACTCGAAACCCTGAGAAGGCCTGTGCTGCGGTGTGCTGCGATTGCAGTGAGGAGATCCTCCACGCGCAGGAGAGGCATCGCAACACTTGGTAGCGAGTCTCTTATGGCCATCAATGGTGAGCCCTAAGGAAGTTTGGAAAGCACGAGCAGTGCCGAGGACAGCGCATTGAGCACTGGGACTGTCTGACACCTTGGAGAGTAATTTAGTCCCAATTCCCCAGTCTATGTTTATGGACGCTACGTACTGCTGGACCCCCCCATCATATTTGCGTTGTTATGTCAGGGTCCACAGTGCCTATTCCAGAATCCAGAATGCCAGGTCATCGTGAAAACCTGAACCCCGAAGCATTGTCCTGAAAACATCCCTATGAGGCATGTAACTGAGACAAGACCAAGAGAAAAAGCCCGAGGATGACATGGCCGACCTCCAATTCGAAACGCATACCAAGCCTGAACCCCAAAGCCAAAACACCCTGGTGGTTTTCGGGTTCAGGCCGTGGTTTATGTGCCTAGCACGAACTACCAAAGCCTGAGCCTGATCTGTCGCAGGAGATCAACAAATAGCCTGCTATCATTGTACATGTTTCTGAGGATTCAAGGGGCCTACAACATTATATTCAGCGGTGTGTGTAATAAGTCGCAACGCCTCGGTCCGGGAAAGTTGCTGAGGACCCAGCACTCGCCAATACCCATCCCTGGGCATGCGTTCTTTTCTTGTGTTTCTGCCCGCAAAACCGTCCCTCTGGTAATCGAGTCTTGGAATTCTATCTGTAGGCGCTTTAGTAATAGTAACGCCCCAGTCAAAGATCCTTCAGCTTGCATGTGGTGTCATTGCATTTCAGGTGCGGTATCTCCTTGTCAACACACAGCCAACTTCGAAACTGCCATGAACATGTAGCAGAGCTTATAGCTGTAGGTCAAAATAACAAATCCGCTCCGTGGGACTTCCTTGCCTACACATACGAGGATTGGCCCGAATCTCTTTTCAAAATGCTGCTCAACATAATCCTGTACCAGCCAAAGACAAGCTGTAGAAGTATTTATATATATATATATATATTATATATATATATATATATATATATATATACTGGGATCCTAATCGGCTCCACGCGCCCAACAGGAAGGGGAAGGTTTGGGAAAGGAACACAAATCACACCTTCTGTCGCTTTTTCGGGATTAGGATGTTAAGCCTTAAAGTGCGAGGGGACCGAAAGGGAAAGGAAAGCTCTCGCATTTGGCAATCGTAGGAGTCGCATGTTGAGACAATCCCATAACCTCAGACAACATATACATATATACATAACAGATAGATAGGTAGAGATAGAGCTGCGATGCAGGCGAACTAATTAGTTATCAGTTTTAGGCCCAGCCGTCGACCCCTCAAGTCAAGTCTTCGGGTTCGATTCAAAGAGCGAGCAGAACAGCGGGGTTGTTCTACATCTGGGTCTCTGCGAGGGTCTCTGTGCTACCCTAGGCTTACCGGAAGTGTCCAAGCACCTGATATTTAGCCATTTGTTCTAGTCATGGCTGCTCACTCTTTAGCGTGTACGAGCGTCCCGGACTTAGATGTAGAGTTAGTGGGCAACCGTCAGAAGACCAGCCCAGCCTACTTGAAGGCTTGTGCAAACCTCCCCAAAGCCGCAGACATATCCCCTAAGACGCAAAAGCATCAAACACTAATTGAACCCCTAATCCACACAAAACCTGAACCCTAGACTCTGAACCCTACTTCCTAAACCTAGGCTCCCCCAGCCCCAACCATGCCTGTGGCTTTGCAGCGCCCTGGGTGCCAGGTCGTGCGAAGCACGGCAGCGCCCCGTCCGCCGGCGACTCGCAAAAAATTGGCTGTCGGCTTGATGGGCAAAAAGGTTGAGGAGTTATACAGTTATACCTGTCTAGCATCTGGCCGTTAAGGATTTCAATCGCGCTTTATGGCTTTATGGTTTAGGTTCTCAGGATTTAGAATTTGGAAGTCAGGGTTCCGGGTTCAAGAACAGCGTCTACCAAACGCTGCACAGGAACAGTCCAAGTCAGGGCCAAAGCCTGGATCCATCTCCGGGTTCCCCAGAACCCTAAACCATCCCAAGCCCGAAATGCGTGAGTTTAGCCTTTCGCGTGCATACTGTTTGGTCCATGTCTTGGGCAGCAAGACGAATCGGCGTCAAAAAGCTCAGGGAAGGGGGGCATGGCGAGACGGCGCTCCCAGAGACTCCGACATCTATCAATCGAGAAAACCTCTGGACTCCAGTGGCAGGAAGATTCCTTTCGCGTCCCTAGCGGCTCTAATGTAAGAATGCCTGACACTCTTGTAGGGATCCAGGAAGACACCCTAATTGAGCAAATTCTCCTGTGTTTCCTGTAAGATTCGAAACCAAGAAACCCTGAAGTCACGCGCCAAACCTGCAACAATCTCGAGCCTCGCGGCCGAGTGTTCGTTTGTCGAAATCTTTGCTGAGCCTGCAAGGAAACGACTTCTCTGTGAGGTTCTTTCTCATCAACAACATGCATGGCACAAAGACCATGATTGACCCATGCTTCCACTACAACTTACTTCTGCTGCTGAAGGCTGGTGCTACTTCTACGGCTGCTTTCTCTGCCTCCTCTGCATATGCCTGGCTACCGATGACGGCACCGTTGAACTGCCTGACAGCCCCTGAGATCTTCAGCCGCATGCTGCTGCAGCGATCCAGCTACAACATTGGCGGGACCGCTCGTCACGTAAATATACTAATCTACTGTTGCCGCTACGAACTACCGCTACCACTAGTCCCCCGACTGGTTTACAGGGCTTAACTAAGTTCTAAGGAAACTTAAGCCCCAAAGTTGAAATCGAAACCGTGTCACTTCTTCACTGTGCGCCTGGGAGTCTCTCTCCTGAAAGCTGGCAGCTCACTCGGCGCCCGCGTGCTGGGCGTCTGCGCAGGAGGCAGCATCATGACGCAAGGCTCTTGACCTGGTCCTGTTGGGCTTGGGGTACTTTGCGTTGTGGCTCCCTTGCCTCTAGAGCTTAGCGTTGTCCTTCTATATTACGGCACTGTTAGGATTTAGCTTAGGGTTGGAAACTGGCCTTACTGTTAGGGTGTTTTTGGTCTCCATGGCTACTTAGAGAAACTTTCTTTCTTGCCTGAGAGGGAATGCAAACTGGGTTAGGCTTCTATTTTGGGCACATTTTTCTGCGTTTCACTCGCAGTTGTGGGAACACCCACTTAGTGCTCAAATCAATCGCGAAGCTGCCTGGCAAGACAAAGCAAATCCGAGTGTCAACGGTAAGGCCTATAAAGCCCTGAACTCAGCACCCCGCATCTTGGCCCTTGGCTGGCAGTACACCAAATGGCTGCAGCGGATATGCCAGGACGATCAATGAGGTTAAAGCTCTCGAGCTTTCGTAAATACGGTTTACACGTTGGTCTGAGGGCCCTTTTTCGTGCAGCGATTCAGGCTCCAAAGACCCGCGGCTTAAGGTTTTACGGCTCTTGGGCTTAAGCACTGCAGCATTCTTGGGTGTTAGGGCTGTCAGGGCTGAAGGCTATTACAGCTTTGATCTTTTAGAGTTTAGCTCTTGTCGGGTTCAGTCAAGCCTGTGTAGAGTGCTCATGCACGAAGTCCTGCATTATCATCGCACGGAACATACCACATTCCCCAAGTGCCCAGCTACTCAAGGCCACAAAGAGTTTTGTGTATCTGCCGTAGCGTGATACTGTGCAGGTTGGAATTGAATGCTTGGGGGGTGGCTATGGAAGCGCCGGAGCCTGAGTCAGAGTACAAGTAATTCTTAACCTAAGGGCTAGACTGCGGCACCCTATTTGCTTGATCAGAGCACTTGGAATGTAGCTGCGCAGAAATGCGAAAGGCTTCTTGCAAGGTTTATGCGATTAAGGCTTGGGGTTTTGGAATGTGGAGCTTCGGGTTTGGAGTTATGACCAAGTTTAAGCAAGCTGCTGGCTACTCAGTCCCATGATCTTCCAAGTAGAAACCACATCTTCAAAACAGTAGCCCCGAGCCCAAAACACCGAACTTAAGAAAGCCCAACAGACAAACAAAGCTGACGGCTTTCGGTAGAGTCCCCAATTATCTGAATAGACTGTACAGTAAACCAGGTGTAAGCCCCGCAACACCATTGACTGCATGAGACCACAGCTTGATCCCACTGTTGATGGACATGTGCTGGATTCTGAACCCTCCAGCTCTCCCTGAACCTCTTCAGACCCTATGTGAGCCGAAACCCAATACATCAACTCATATACCCAGCTGGAAAATCACGCCCTGTAACTGTGTGGCCGGCCCAGAGGCCGGCTCGATCGCAGGCGGCAGTGGCCGAGGCATAAGCCGAATGCCTTGGGGGACGCAAGCTTCATGATGCGCCACCCTTGCAACCCATCGGCCCAGAAACTGCTTACACCCGAAATGACCTCAGACTATAGCTAGCAGCTAGAAGCTGAAGTCTAGTTGCAATTGAACACCTTATTGTCTGATTATCGGGCTCGAACCATGGACTGTAGATGATGCGAAAACGGTGCTACGCTTCTTCGACTTTAAGCACAATCCTATGGGGTCTTGGCACATCCTTACAAGCCTATGGAACTCCACTCACAACTCGATGGAGCGTATCAGCTGCTGTGCCATCTTAGGCCCCCTGCGAAGGTGTCGAAAGCCACTCCGATGCGTTGGACACGAGGGCCTCGGTAACGCCGAGTTCGGACTCGGAGCATCCAAAAGCGCCATAGTAAACGCAAAACATCTACACCCACCACATTTCCCGTTGGAGCCCCCTATACACTCTGAACATAAACTCCATTCAACTTTGGAGTTTGAGAGTCGAGGGGTCGCTGAGCGATTGATTCGACTCTCCAATGCGTGCTTCTGCTGCTAATTCCATAGGCCATAGTCTGCACCCTCCAAGAAAAATCGAGGCCACCTTTAACAGTAACTAAATTCCGGACTGTACATACATAGGGTGGAATGTACGGTTCAGGTTTGTGGCGAAAGGGTATACCCTTATCCCCACCCCAAACCCCAAACCTCCAATAGCCTCTGAGCACAAAGCAATTGCGCTGTGCCAGGCAGCACCGCGCGCACAGGCCGCCACCTGGGAAGGCGAGGCCCAGATGCATTCAGGATTCCGGATTTCAGGTTCAGGGATTCAAGCTGGCATGAGCATCGTGTGAGTTTCTGCACCGAAGGCTGAAATACACCTCATTATAGCCTGGGACCGCCCAGTACTACTGGGGATAAAAGGGTACCCCCTACCCAGACTCCCGGTCTGGTTTAAACATCCTGAACATGCATCCTTGGGCAGCTGGCGGCTGCAGAGTGGGCCAGCCAGTCAACGCCATCCGTCGCCTGGTCACCTGCAGCAACAGCATGGGTTCTTTGAGTGTGACGGGCGTTAATTAATAAGAGCTTTGGAGGATTCTTGTGGCGGTCAACACATATGCTTAGCAGCCTAGCAAGACCGTACTGCTGCTGGACAAAAACCCTGCACCATGTCTTCAAGTAGCTATGGAGTTATATTATATAGTACTACTCTTCTTGTGGAGAATGAAGGATTGTGTCTGTCAGCAGGATCCCAATCTGGGCCAGCTCCACGAGGGAATTCGAAGGACAAAACATCACCAGTCTTTGAAGCTGCTGCCATATTATATCCTGGCCCATAGGCCCCAAACCCGAAGCTCTACACTCTTACACCATGCACCTGAACCCTAGAAAATCTAGCTTTTATCACCAAAAGCTACAATATATAATCGTCTAAGTTACCGCTGGCCGGTCCGCTTCTTTTCGACTGCGCCCGACTGTCTGCGGCTTTGCCGCAGAACCCGAAGCCCTCGGACTCACTGGGATGGCACGAAGGCCCCGTGGACGAGCCATGCATAGAGTGGTAGCTTAAACGTAGGGTGGACCAGGGCTTAAGGCAGCTTAGGGATGGCCTTTAGGCTCGGGGTTCACGGGGCCGGGGCAATCAAACGGCCAGGGAGTTTAGCTTCGGGTGGTTTTGCGTTGCGAGTAGCTTGGGGCTTGGGGGATCCAATTTCTTCCGATCTTAGGCCCGCGTGGTGAAGGAGAGGAAGCGCTTCAAGGCCAAAGCATCACATACTGTATGGCTGCGTGTACCGTTATGCCAGGCCGGAACCCTAAGCACCAAGAGCTTCAACCCAAACTACCACGACCACCACCACGACTATTACGATCACCATGTACTCGCGGTCTGATCAGAGCCACACGCGGACTCTGTAAATCACACATGGGATATGAGCACAGGGTATGCACCCCACCACGGGCGCAAGCATTGAATATTCGCTTGAGCCTTCACGTGCCCGTGCTCACACTTGCACTTACCTCTTTTACATGGCTAGAACCCCACAGCGTGTCCCACACTTTCGGGGCACTTGGCAGGGCTCATGGATTACAACGGGAATCCCAACATGAAGGCCCTTCAAGGCGGTTGACCAATCCGAGGTCTGGAATTTACACCTGGAATCCAAAGCCTGACATCAACATCGTGGGCACTCAGCACCCGGAACATTTGGAATAGGGCTTCGGGATACATCATAATTAATAGCATGCAGTCGTATAATGAAGAAACCCAAGCAATATACTGCTGGAAGGTAATTGCTTAGGGTCCCCTAGGGGCTTCGGTTGTCATTTAAGGTCCTTCTCTTTCCGCGGGCAGAAAGCCTCCCTCAGGCTGGGTGGACTGTGAATGTGTTTAGGGATTTGGAGGCTGGGGCTGTATGAAGGAATTTGGGTTTAGGGGTCGTGGGTGAATGGACGTGTTTTCACTTCTGCCCCGAAGACCGGTCGATGTTGCCTAGGCGGCATCTCTAATCAGCTCTATCTATATACCTGTACTTAGCTCGTATTGTAGCCTGCGTAAGACTAGGTTTACAGCTACAATTGCGATCGGGCTATATGTCTTTAACCTTGAAGTGGAGATTGGGAACCACACACAGCTGCAAAGAAGGGTGCCTAGAAGTCACACACTGCCTGGCTCGGCCAAGTCCGGATCTACATGCGGTCGCATCACCGCATTAGTGTACAATCTGCATGCTGCTTTCGCAGTGCACTGTGGCGGAGGCAAAGAGAGGTCCTTGCAATTTTGCAGCCTCTCCCCTCTTCAAAACGACGGCCAAATATTAATGTACCAACCACCCTCGTGTCTGTGTCCGGAAAAACTTCGAATACACCGTAAGCTCCTGAAGTGAAGCAATCAACGCCCTGAAGCAGACCCGAGCTAGCTCAGCATGGTAGCTTTCGAATATCTTCAGAGCTAGCCAACATGGTGATGACAAGCAACTTTAAAATCGGCTAGCTCAGCTGCAGCAGCTCCATGAAGGTGTCGAAGGATAGTTCTCCCGAGCCACCGGCTTCAACCTTCGCCAAGAGGTCATCCACATGATCCTGCATAGGGTTCAAGGTATCGCACACAAAATCTAGGGCGTAGGACCTTAATGAGTTTTATTAACAACCTAGAGTGGTGCTGAACGATAGCTGTGCAGACAGATCCAAACTGTTTGCGTGGGGACTCAATGTTCCCATACGCTGTGCTAGAAAAACTTACGACTGAAAGGATTGCTGCTGCGCTGCCGTTGCTGCTGCTGCCGCTGCTGCAGCTGCGCAGAACCGTCATGATGATCACCATCATCATCAACAACAACAGCATCATCATCATCACCATATCATGTGCAAGACGGGTTCAGGATTTAGGCGGATGAAGTTAAGAAAAGCGTTTGCTGACGTGCTGTTGGCAACTGTGACAAAACAGGCAAAAAGCAGCACCTTTCATTGCTGTCTTACTTGTAGCAGTCGTTGTGACAAGGGGAGTTCTTGAGAATGGATAGTAGCGGTTGCCACTGCCATTGCTGTCGTTGCTCTTCCTGTGGTGGGGGTGGTGGTGGTGGTGGTGGTGGCGGCGGTGGTGGTGGCTACTTCTGCTGCAGTAGTCGTCGTCGACGTTGTCGTCGTCGTAGTAGTAGTAGTAGTAGTAGTAGTGGTGGAAGTAGTCGAAATAGTAGAAGTAGTAGTAGTAGTAGTAGTAGTAGTAGTAGTAGTAGTAGTAGTAGTAGTAGTAGTAGTAGTAGTAGTAGTAGTAGTAGTAGTAGTGGTAGCAGCAGGAGGAGTAGTAGTAGCAGTGGTAGCAGCAGTCGTAGCAGTAGCAGTAGCAGTAGAAGTAGCAGGAGAAATAGTAGTAGTGGTAGTAGTAGTAGTAGTAGTAGGAGTTGTTGTTGCAGCAGTAGCAGCAGCAGGAGTCGTAGTAGTAGTATTCGTAGTAGTAGTAGTAGTAGTAGCAGCAGCAGCAGGAGTAGTAGTAGTAGTAGTAGTAGTATTAGCAGTAGCAGAAGCATTAGTAGTAGGAGTAGTACAGCAGCAGCAGCATGGATCAGGAGTGGTAGTAGTAGCAGCAATAGCAGTAGTAGTAGCAGTAGTAGCAATAGTAGTAGTAGTAGTAGTCGTCGTAGTAGTAGCGGTAGTGGTGGCAAAAGTAGTAGCAGTCGTCGTCGTCGTAGTAGGAGTAGTACTAGTACTAGTAGTAGTAGTAGTAGTAGTAGTAATAATAATAGTAGTAGTAGTAGTAATAGTAGTAGTAGTAGTAGTAGTAGTAGTAGTAGTAGTAGTAGTAGTAGTAGTAGTAGTAGTAGAAGTAGTAGTAGAAGTAGTAGTAGTAGTAGTAGTAGTAGTAGTAGTAGTAGTAGTAGTAGTAGTAGTAGTAGTAGTAGTAGTAGTGTTGTGGTCGTGGTTGCTGTGGTTGTGTCTGTGGTTGCTGTTGATTTTTATTATTCTTTTTGTTGTTGTTGTTGTTGCATGCAGCGGCAGTGGTGGCAGTGGTGCAGCGGTGGCAGTGGTGGAAGTGGTGGTGGTCGTGGTGTTGGCGGTGGTCGTGGTGCTGCTGGTGCTGGTGCCGCGGCCGGTGCTGCTGCTGGTAGTGGTGGTGGTGGTGGTGGTGGTGGTGGTGGTGGTGGCGGTTGTGGTGGTGGTTGTCGTCAGTGTCGTATAGCAATCGTCCAAAAGCTACGCAAACGATTGCCTATCCGTGCTAAGAGCAGTCATGAAGTATAACTCTTAACCACTCAGGCCTCTTGACGGCGGAAGTGGTACTATCAAATCCTTCAGGAGAAATTGTTCCAGAATGCTCTGGGGCTTTGAGGTTTTGCAGGTTGTCAGAGTTCACACTGGCTTAGTGATCCGAAACACCGATGCCTGAGCTAAAAGGGCCTTAGAATTCAAACTACCTAAAGTGCTGTCTGTTTAGCCATTTAAACAAACATATATGGCATGCACAAGCGGATTACCAGCTACAATGGTTATTGGGCTTCGACATGTGCTTCCAAATGTTCACTTACAGCTCACAACTTAGCCCGCCTTGCGCTTCTCCGCTTGCCAAATCCCTCGCACTGCACCACCATGAAGAATCTTGCGCAAGTCATCCTGTCAGGCAGAGCGATCCGGAAACCCTGCAGGTAGGTCGAAATCCTGCTGCGCACCCCTTAGAAATCCCAAGCGACCTCTTTAAATGCTTAGGGTCAACAAAACTGCATGTTTCTTTTACCGTTCAACAGAATAGAACAGAAAGACCAGCTGCCTGACAGTTTCTCCAACACCGTCCCCGTTTCAGGTCCCATCACATCTGAAATATAGTCATGCCGCCCTACACCCTAACCTGCAGCCTTCCCCACCCACAACATAGCCCTGTAGGATTTCTATTACGAGGTTCCAGAAAGTCTCCACCGTGCTAAACGGGGGTGTTCCGCAGGCTGTGTGTGAAGAAGGGCATGCTGGTGAGTGTATAGACGGAGTCCTGATTGGCTTACATGTAACAGAATCCCGCCAAGACCTACTCGTACATTGCCTTGTACATATATATATATATATATATACAGCTTATATAACTGTACAGGCATACTCGGCTACGGTCCTTGGGTGTGGCTACTGCGCAGCAAGTTCATGTCTTTGGGCCTCTCTCTCTCTCTCTCTCTCTGCATACATATAAACCGAACATCGACAAACAAGTAAATTGACAAAGAAAAATGCATAAAGCCTCCGCGAGCATAGTACGGTAACTTCCGTTTACAGGCCACTGTGCTTCTCGGCATGAACTACTCCAACCCAAATCTGTAAAGGCTCTAAACCCCAAACCCCCCTACCGCTTAACCCGAAAACCCTAAACCCTCAGACTCTATAGAAACCTGCTGAAGTTCTAAGGGCTCTCGAAAGCAAGGCGCCTTGGAGATGCTCCCGGTGTTGGACTGATCAAAGTCCTGGTGTGAGTAGGATTGCGTGCTCTGTTTTTGGAGGCTGGAGTGGGGGGTGGGGGGGTGAGGGTAGACCGAAACCTTTAGTCGAACCGGTTAACCTT